ATTATATGATCCAGCCATACCTCAAAGACTCTTTACCGTATTACAGGAATACCTGTTCATCCATGTTCATCGATGACCTTTTAATAACAGCCAGGAATTGGAAACAATCTAGCTGTACATCAGATGATGAATGGATAGTGAAAGTGTGGTACATATACACAATAGAATATTACTCAGCTTTTTAACAAAAATGAAATTATGAAACTTGCAGGTAAATGAGTGGAACTGGAAAAAATCATTCTGAGTGAAGTAAGCCAGACATAAAGACAAATGCACATTCTCACTCATGGTTGGATGCCAGCTTTGAAATCTTAGATATGCATGTCTCAATTTGAAAATGCAGAGAGGTCATTAAATAAGTGGTCACGAGGAGGTGCTTCCTGAAGGGGAGGGACAATGTAGTGATATAAAGGGGGAAAGGGGAACAATACAGTAGGGATGGTTAAATGGGATGGGGAATGTGAGGGCAGGGAAGAGGAGGGAGTATGCGGAGGAATAAGCATCAGTAAAGGCCTTTTGAAAAAGCCACATGAAAATCTGCCATTATAGAAGTTTCTCAAAGTATATACATATATATGTATTATAAAAAGAGACTAAAGGGAGTTACCTTATAACAGGGGGCATTGCCTCTACTGGACACCATAGGCAAGCTAAGTAAAAGCCCAATGCCAGGAATAGACTCCTTCTTTGGAAGCTGTTGACCAGGGGTTTCTTAGACCTTCAAACAATCCTAGCCATTGTCCCAGATCTTGATTCCCCACCAGAACTCGATGGTAAGACACTACTGCTGAAGATACTACATACATGAGCTGTAGAACAAATAAGGAAAATTCAAGCGGGGGCTGACTTCAGAGACTCATTCTCACTGCCTAGCTTTCATAGTGCCAGGAGTGCTGTGTTTGCTACCTGAAAAGAAAAATGTAGCATGAACATTACTCAGCTGTGAATGTGTGAGTTACAACAACTGGTACGTCAACATTTTATGAAGAATGAAGTAATGACCATTTAATTTTACAAGAGGCTAGTAGTATGCATTCTGTCAAAAGGTAGGTAGGTTTGTTTATTTTGTTTATTTACTGAGATGGGGATCTCCTGTAGGCTGAACTTGAACTTGCTGTATATTTGATACTTCTGATCCTCTTGCTTCCTCTTCTTGAGTGCTAGAATTGCAGGCTTTCAACATCATGGCTCATTTATTCAGGGCTAGGATCAAACCCAGGGCCTTGTACATGTTAGTCAAGGTACGAAATGAGCTGCTTCCTTAGCATAGAAAGTTTAGTGCAATTATTAATACATAGTAAACATATGAAGACAATTTTTTATTCTCCCTACTTATCAAGTTGAATTAATAATATTTAATCATCTAAGAAAATACTTCCAAATTATGTGTAATTTGTTAAAGAATGAATCTTGAACTAAAGATAAAATTATAAAACCCTGTTCCAATATTAAGAATACTACTTACTAGGTACTGGGTATATAATGATAAATAAAATTTACACCCAGTCTCTACCTCCAGAGCTTCTGATTCAGCTAAAAAGTAATGAGGCTGTAGCACTGGATTCTATCATATATCAGCCCAATAACAACAGTAGAAGGTCTATATGGCTTAATCTGAATGGTCTGAAGTTAAAATTGCTCACACAGACAATACTTTTACTTGACAATGCACATATATCTAGAACACATGAAGAACTCCTACAAAATAAATAGACATAGACACCAAAAATAGTGAAAATGTCAGTAGGTACTTCACAAGAGCACATATTCCAACAGACAGCAGAACAAGGCCTCATTATAATCAGTCATCACAAGAATTCAAACTCCACTGTCTGATTAGACCATTATATTCCCAGTAGAATTTTCAACAGTACTTGAACTCTCTGGTGCTGTGGATGGGAATGAAATCAGGTGTAAATACTTTGGAAGATTGTGGTTGATATCAGCTAATCTGTGCTCCGCAGTAATCCCACTGCTAGGCGTTTGTGAATGTTCTCACAAAAAAACATGTATAAAAGTGCTCATTGTACTATTCAAAAACATCTCCAGACTGAAAAACAACCCTAGAGTCCCTTCACTGTGGTATATTTATACAAAGGAATACTATACAACAATGAGTATGAACAAATAATAGCTATACCCTTAAGCATGAATGGATTTCACAAATATTCTATGTAGCAGAAGTGAGATGCAGAGTACACCTTTCATAATTCCATTTTATAAAACAGAGAAATAAATCTTTAGTGCTAAAATTTAAGGCAGTAGTTAACTTTGGAAAAAACTTATTAGGCAGGGACACAAAAGAGGCCTCTGGACGCTGATAAAAAAAAAATTGATTTTGGAGCTGGATGCAGGAGTTTGTTTTCTAAATCTTACACTTCTCTGAATGTTGTCATACTTCGAAAACAGCTAACCATACACAAGAATAAAAATAGCCCCTTAGGATATGGATGCCATTTTATAGTTTAAGGGGTGTTTCAGATAGTATGCCCCATCATGTCATTAGCTCACTCGTTCACCAAAATAGAGTAGGACTCATCTAGCAAGGGGCTAGGCTAGAGTTGCAAGGGCTAACAGGACATTGTTATTAACCTCTCTGATCTTAGAGAACTTAAAGATTTAACACCAATCTATAGCATCTTTGTACTAATAACTTGTACTAACTCTTGTGTACTAAACATTGCACCTTACCTACATGCTACATTCTCTCACATTTAATAAAATCAAGATAAGCATTCTCGTGTCTTTCCGATTTTCTTCTGAACACATGAAGTGTTATATAAAGGAAAATTTAATGACATTTTTAGAGGTAAAGAGATTGAAATTCACTTAGTGAATGTGGGTCTATCAGGGATGACTGTAATGTGACATCTGCAGTCTTTGATGACTTCATCAGATAGTTCAAGTACTAAATAAATGAAGTTGATAAGAATGGGAAGAGAAATAGAAATTCCATTCCAGTACATATTTTAATTTAATTATTTCACACAGCGATACCTAAAAGGGACCATGTACTAGTTTAAATTTACTTCCCTCAAGAAATTTCAACTTTTTAAGTAAAATGTTAACCTAAAAGAAATATGTTAAAAACTATAAAACAATTATGACAATAAAATAAGTATTTCTGAGGGAAAAAATTATGCTTTCATTTATTAAAATGTGAGTTTTATATTGCATCAATTTCCTGTAAGTTAGTGCCAAATAATACATGTGACCATTTACATCAGAGGTACAGTGTTTTAATATAAGTGACATTTTCAAAAGAATATGAGCATATTTTACAAGACTAATCTTATATAAGCCATGGGATTGTTTTACAGATTCCCAATATAGAATTTTTTGACATTTAAGTATTTCTTACTTTTTGTTCTATAGTGATGCTTCATTAATTTTACCAAACTCATTCCATGTTTAACATATATGTGTATTTTACTCTATGTTCAATATAATATTTTGAAACAAAATGATGGTCAATAGCCATCATCATATAAAATCATCTTTAACTAAATCCTTCCAGGTACCGTGCTAGTCGTAGAATGAGCACTGAGCACTGTGCTCTAAGGCCCAGCAGCTTGGAATGCCATACTTTGGAGGAGCACTTTTAAGGCTTGTGAGGGGTAAACACAGTGTTCCACACTGTACTTTAAGAGTTACCAAGAACAAGGTTGCAGCCTCAGAAAAGTTCAGGAATGGGAAGTAAGATGTGCACATATGCAAATGTATGCATGAATTGAATGCTTCGGGTGATATCAGAAATGTTTCTAGGAAACAGCATTTGAGCTGATAGAGAAATCAGAAAAGGGAAAACTGACTATGAAAAGTGTAAGGATCATCATCACTCCCTTCTTCCTGCTGGAGAGCATCAATAGTGGCTTCATCCCTTCTAGACTAAAGGGGGAATGAATTTCCACTTGTCCCTTCTGCCCTACAGACAGCCATGCTCACAGGATTCACGGGATCTGGAACATCTCAGTGATAGCCTCATGTCCTCATGTCCCCTAGCCTGCAGGAGTAATCCTACAAGATCTGAGGGCCCCCAGCTCATTGTGGGAGCCCAACATCCCTTTAGCTGTTACAAATGTGACTAGGTGAAGAGTTCAGGGTCAAGGACACTGGGTCCAAGCTGCTGTCCCAATCTAACTTTATTTATAATAAATTGATCTGGTGAACCCTTGACTTTCACAGTTTTTTCTCCGTTTCTTCAATCTGCAAAGGAGACTTGATGTGCCAGTGACTATCAAAGGCCAATGTAAAGACATGCCATTGTTTCAGCTCAGCACCTCACAAATGTGGTGGGAAACCAAGCATGATAGAGGAAACAGAGACACCAGCACTGGAGATATTTGGAAGGTAAACTTGAAGAGATAATTTTGCACAATTACAAAGAAACTTTACTTTTTTGGTAGATAATAAAGAAACTGTAAGAATCCTCTAGAAAGGTCATTAGACAAATGTTTTAATTCTATTAGTAAAATGATGTTAATAGTTACACTGTCCTGTGTATGAAGACATGTTAGTTTTTGAATATTAGTATATCATGTATGCCAGGTTAAGTTAAAAAGACTAGAATTTAAAATCTTATGACATTAACTATAACCTTAGGTTGGTAATTAAACCTCTTTCAAATTGAGTTTAAATTCGTCCTCAGTATTGACAGTGTCTAGCTGTTATTGAATCAGAGGTTAATTAAATGAGAAACAAGATGTAGAGGACAGTACCATAATGTCCATGGATAGCAATGGCTGCTAGTTTTCATTAGTCCTTTAAATTGAGAGATGCCCACTGTCATATGTAATGAATAACATTTCAGGTAATCATTGCCTCCGCAATCCTCAGATGCAGCCCAGGCTGTACCTTAAGATCTATCAAGAAATTCTGAAAATACATATGCCAAAACTCCAAGATCCTAATTCTGTGTATCTAGCATGGCCCAAGAAAATTTTGGTGCATAATCACAGTTAAGAGCACTTTGTGTGTGATACATTAAGCATTGCTTTTACCTTGATCAGAGTTTGTTTCATTTAAAAGGCATAGTAGCAAGTCGGAGTTTATTAACTCTGTGCCCCAGCTTCCGTGGTCATAACCTGAGGAAACAGGAACATTGGTCCTACTCAAAAGACCCACAGCTAAAAGATGATAATGCATAAGGCATATTCAAGGAGATGGAACTAGGTGATGTGATGAAAACAATCATATTGCATAGCTCGAACTCAAACACACAAAGGAGTCAAACGTCATGATGTTAAAATCAGTCAGAAATCAAAAAGAAAAGGAAAAAAATTCAATGACTTCATGGAAGGTCAGAGCAAACGGTAGGTGAGCAAAAGGCAAGGCAGACACGAACTGGAGATTCCCAAAGCTGGAAGGCAAGGCAGATGGTCAAAAGCTGAGGCAGGTCAGCAGGAACCAGGCGATCTACAAGTAAGATGAGCAGAAGAATGGATACCAGGTACCAGCAAAAGGGAGCCCGTGATTCCAAGGCAATCTTCAGTCCCTGGCAGGAAGCTTCTTACAGACTTCCTGCTGCAGCAGGTACCAGTCTAGGCCTGTGGATGGAAGCAAGCAAAACTCATGAAAATGGAGAAGGTGAAGCTAATGGGAGCCAAAGTAGCATAAGATCTCTGGTGAAAATGCAAACAACCACAAGACCAAAACCACAAAGAAACCATATTTAATTGCTACTCAAACAGAAGCTTTTAAGCAAAAAGCAACATGTCTAAAGTATGTCAGCATCATGTATTTTTAAAAGAAAAATGGAAACAGGACTCTCATTCATGCATTCATTCATTCGTTTCAACCAAATGACAGTGATCGAATTCCTTTGATTATCAAACCCCATGAAAGGCACTCTGTATAACAGGATGAAAACACAGTCCCCAGTGATCATACTGTCTAACAGAGGCAACAAAGATAAGATCCATCCCAACATGATGCAGGGGGTCTTAAAGACGATTCCTAATCCACTGTTAGTAGATGTGTAACCTAGTTCTGTCATTATAGAAATCAATGTGGAGGGTTTTCAAAAAACTGAAAAAAGAAATTGCCATGCAGCCCAGCTATGCCACTCCTGGGCATGTATTGAAAGGGCTCTACCGTCTACTACACAGGTACTTGTACAACCATGTTTATTACTGCTCTTTTCACAATAGCAAGGAAATGAAACCCATTTAGATGCCCTCAAATGAACAGTTAATAAAAGCGTGATATATGTACACAATGTAATTTTATTTATCCATAAAGACGAATGAAAATTTCAGGAAAATGAATGAAACTGGAAAACATTATTTTAAGCAAAGTAACCCAGGCTCAGAAAGATAAATACTGTTTTTCCTCTCATATGTAGATGCTAGCCTCAAACTGTTAAACGTGTATGTCCAGGAGGAAAGAAATATGGGGGAAGGGCCAGGAATCTAGGAAGAAGCCCACATGATTAGAAAAAGAATCTTTCAGGGATGGGGTGGGGAAGGCAGTATAATAAAGTGGAAAGGGGAATGCTGGGGAGTAAAGGATGCAGCAGAGGAAGGAGGGGCAAGGGGATCAAGGAAGTCATCAGGGGATTGAGCAAAATGAAATATGTATTAAAAACCTCATATGGGAACCTGTCACTTTTCAAGATAATTTTAAAAATAAGAATAAAGAGAGTTGGTTGGCACAGGCCACATGAGCTTGTTCTGGCTGGCAGTGTTAGTCATAAAGTCAATCACCATATGACTGTGTGTTTTCATTTTCAGTGCAGAGGACTGTCCTGGAGAAAGGATTTCTGCTGAGTCTGGAAACCTTTCACTTGTGCTTGTATACACCGATCTGGCAACAATTAATTTTAAGTAGTGTTTCTATGATCACTTTAATTTCATGCTAATTAAAAGTAGTACATTAATGAGTTCTACTTACAAATTTTCTTATCTACTATTAAAGTACAGATTCTTAAAAATAAGTGAACTGGCTTAGACCTATTGTTAAAAATACAGTGAGCCCTTGTTTTAATGGTGAGAAAGGTACAGATATAGTTTCCAATGTTTACATTAAATTTATTTGATCTGTTCCAGGATATAGTATTAATAAATCATGTCAAGAAAGGCTAAAAACTCACATCAAGACTCCAGAAAAATACAACTTTTATCATCTTCATTTAAAAAAATACATAAACTTTGTAAATCTTTGAAAATGCGTTTGCACAGAAAAAAAATAGTAATTACATCAAACAAGAGACTATATTAATCTATAAAATAACAATGACTGATCCTTCATTACCATGCTCACTCCTTGAGAATATGATAGCAGTTTATGGAATAGTCTCAATGAAGACAACAAAATATTTGATATATGATTTACCCTTTGTCCAGTCACATATCTAGTTAGTTTGCCTCTTCTCCCTATTATTATGCTGGAAAAATTAGGCAGACGATTAGTTTCAAGATGCCATAAATCTACAATCTAAAACCTCAGCAGGGCTACCCACCCCAGTAGCACATGTTATTCTGCCCCCCAGTTCCCCTCAGCAGCTTCTTCAGCTTTCATCTCTTTCTCCAAGTCCTGTTACCAATTTTCAAAAATTGTGGTAGTCTTAGTCCCTTAATGTAAGAACTAAATATGAAAGATTCTCTATAAAGATACTGAAATATCATGAGATCAAGAGGCAGTCAATGAACACCCCCACACTGAAGGAATGATTGGATGCTGTCTGGCCCTTAGAGGAACTGTAAAGGAAGAGGTCAGAAAATTAGGAGACAACCAGAAGGTTGCAGTAGTACAAAGGCAATCATCTTAAGGAGGAAGGAAAAAAAACTGAATCAAGGGAGCTACAGAGATGGCTCAGCAATTAAGAGCACTGGCTGCTCTTGCAGAGAACCCAACACCCCCATGAAGGCTAACAACTGTCTATAACTCCAGTTCCAGGGGATCCAGTTCTCTCTTCTAGCCTCTAGGAGCACTGCACACCCACTGGTGATGCAGTTACATACATGTAATAACATACTCAATACACGTAAAATAAAATTTAAATAAATCATTAAACAAAAGAAAAGAAAATGAATCAAATGCTTCAGAGAGTTCAAGTTAATTTAAAAGTAAAAAATGTCCAATGTGACGTGGTGATCAAGGTAAGTAGTGCCTCTACTTCAACTTCAATTAAAGAGAATAGAAACCAGGTTGTAGCTGGATGAGCCACAAATGAGAACGAAAGGGGGGGAAGAAAACATGGACACATTACTCTCTGAGAAGGTTCCGCAAAAGATAGATGCCATGAATGCTTTGTGGGGATGGATAATGGAGGGAAGCTTTCATTAGAGGTATGGCATCGCGATGATGGTGCTAAAACTCGGAGGAGGTAGCAGAGGTGATGGTGAAAGTTACAAAGGTGATGTTAGTGGTGGTGGTCTTTGAGGTAATAGGGTCAGTAATAATGAAGGGACCCGAGGTGGCAGAGATGGCAGAAGTTGTGGTCGAGACACTGGAGTCAGTGATGTAAGTGACAACATATGAGACAGTGTTAGTCAAGGTGAAGGTGGTAACTACGGCGATGGTGATGGTGGTGGTGATGGTGGCAATAGCAGCAGTGAAGTACTCATTTTAAATATGGGAAACAGCTGAGCATGTTTACCTACTAAGGTTAAAAGGCAAAAAGAGAAAGGATAACTCTCTTAGTCCCAGAGTAAACAGGCAAGATTAAAACATTAATGCAGAATTTAAACTGCAAAGCTGTCTTCCATAACTACAATTTCCACACTAAATTATCTGCAGTCCAGTCCTCTACCTGTGCCATGGAGTTCTGTGCTTGCCTCTCTGCCTCTGTATTTAGCAAAAGCCCTCAGACTACAATACTTTTTCTTCTAATCATTAAGCACATACCTTCTTCAAAACAGGACTCAGAATCTGTCTCTTCCAATATTTTATAGGGGCTGGAGAGATGACTCAGCAGTTAAGAGCACTGACTGCTCTTGCAGAGGACCCAGGTTCATTTGGTTCCCAGCACCCACATGGTGGCCAACAACCATCAGTAACTCTGGTTCCAGGGAATCCGATGACCTCTTCTGACCTCCATGGGCATTGCATAACATGGATGCACTTACATACATGCAGGCAATACACTCATACACAAAGAATTTAAAAAAATAAAATATTTTTCAAATGAAGCCAAGAAGATTTTCTAGCCCCCTCTGCCCCTGCCTCCTCTTCGACTAGGATAACTTTCCCTGGGCTCCCAGAATCTCTGCCCGTGGTCCATCACAGAATTTCTCCTACTCTATTGTGATTATTTTCATCTCCACTAGAATGAAAGAACCAAACATGCCAGATCACATTATGCATTCACTTATTCAACAAAACTAAAATACCACTACTAGTCATGATTAAAAATCTACCAAAGCTAGGTACATAATGCCAGCTGAGGCAAGAGGATTGTAAGTTCCAGGCCAGCCTGAGACAGACAGCAACACCCTGTCTCAAATATATATTTATATTCAGCACTCGTGTGCCAAGAAATGATAGGAAAACTTTAACCCACTGCCTTCTTTTGTAAATAAAGTATTTTGAACACAGCCACATGTATTTATTTTTACACTGTCTATGGTTGCTTTCACACAACAATGGTAAAATTAGTACCTATGACAGAAACTATATGGTCCACAGGTCCTAAATTGTCCTCTATCTTATCTTTTTACAGAACAGGATTCACAATCCTTTAACCACCAGAAACAGAAACAGTGATTCAATCCTATCATAAAAGACTCTATACTATCTTCAGAGGAAGATAGTAGTAATTATAGCATAACAGGTTATAAATTTTTAGAGAGGAATTAAAAAACTCTATGGGAGCATATAGGAGAACCACTTGATCTATATTTTGAGAGAGCCAGGGTCTTCTGTGTGTAGCACCTATCACTATCTGAAATATTAGTGGATGCTCTACAAGTAAACCATTTTTTTCCCAAGGGAGAATTCATTTAGGAAATGACATACTTTGAATATAATTGGGCCAACATCACAAAGCATAACTGATATTGCTATCACTAGGAAAGTAAATTAGGGTCTCACTTAGTTATAACATTCAGTTCATTGTAACGTTAATATATTCAAATATTCTGGGCTCTTGTTCTATTCCTAAGAGATAAGACTCCAAGTTGGAGCTCACCATAAAAAGAGTGATTCTGAATCTGCTCTTTAACCTGAGAGGCTGACATGAATTCTTGCTTAGAGCTGGGAGACCTACATAATATTCATAATATTCTTTAGAGTCTTTTCATATTTTATTGTGAATTTTAATGTCAAAACTTGACCTAAAATATGACTGTAATGCATACTTACTTGATTTTTCTTTATCTTACACATTTACATACATATACACAGAGACATGAAAATGAATACACAGAGACACATACATAGACACTCACCCAACTTGATAAAAAATATCACCTCATAAATAATACATGCACCCCTATACATATACAGACCACAATTTACATCTTTAGGGAATATGTATTTAACTCAAATCCACTGCATGCATACTTATAAATCTATCTAATCTGAGATGGCAAATAAGTTTTACTGCAGGGTCAATGCAATCAGTCATGGTACTCTGTCTCAAAAGTGTGAGACCACCGTTGTGCTCATAAGAAGTAGAATTAATATTCTCTTGCTTCTCTAGTAAGGCAGATACCTTGAATGTGAGGGGGAATGGTGGACTGGAGTTAACTTATTTGCCATCTGGCCCTACAGAGCTTAACACATTGACAGAATTTTTTCTAAGTATTCTCTTATCACAAACTTACCACAGGTAAATGGACAGTTCTCTCCTAAGAACTGAGGCAGGTAGAAAAGCTCTGGCTGTGGATGACCTTGATGGAGAAGATAATAGCAACTTAGATTTGCCAAGCATTGTGCTGATTTCAGAGTATTCTCATGGACTTCATCTCACATTCATGGTGATGTATATCGTGGGGCAGAGAGTAATACAGACGGTCTGACCACTCACTGTGCTATCTTCAGAGACCAAAGGCAACTTCCCAGTTATTTCAAGTAGCCCTCGGCTGTAAGAATGATAGGTTTTATTACATTTAAAAATATTTATTTTATGTATATGTGTATGTGCACCACATGTATGCAGAAGCCCATGAGGGTCAGTAGAGGATATCAAATTCCCTGGAACTGAAGTTATAGGTGATAGTTAGCCACTCCATATGGGTCGTAGGAATTGAACCTGGGTCATCTATAAGAGCAGCAAGTGTTCTTAACTGCTGAGAAATTATGAGGAAAGTAACTTTTGTTTGTTCTCTCCACAGCATGATAGCCTATTATCCCATGTTCCCCAGTGGCAATAGCTTGTAAAGCTATGGTCTGATACTACAACCAGAAATTCGACAGGGATGTAATAAGACATAGAATATTTCCACTATCGTGTGGAGACTTCATCTTGTCCTTTTATACTATCTCAACTTCCCACACTTATCCCTTCCTTAAACACAGATATCTGCAAATTCATCTCCATGTCTATACCTTTTTAATTTAAACAATGTTATACTAAAGAAATCATACAACATGTGATACTGAGATTGAGATTTTTCCCATTAAGAATAATTTTCTAAAGACTCGTTCTTATTGGCACATGTACTAATTGTTTTTACTATTTGTTGCTAAGTAATATTCCATATGAATCTACCAGTATGATTAGCCACTCAGCCATGTAAGGTTGTTTCTAGTTTGAGACTATTGTGTATGAACTTGCTCTACACATTCACGTAAAGAACTTATTAGTCCTTACAAGGGGACTCACAGGTTGAATAAAATGCAGGAATCTGATTTATTGGCTCCTGAATTACTGGTCTTCAAAAGGCACCAGGGTATTCTTCCATCCAGTCCTCTATGTTAGGTACCAGTATGTAAACTGAAACAATTAATTACATAGAACTCCAAAATGTAGTAAGAACTTTCTACAGTTTCCACTTTTACAATAGAAAAAGTCAAATCTCCATGCATGTTAGAGCCAGGTGACTACCAGAGTCTCATTGTTAATACAGTACTGCATTTTACATCTATGTATCTGCCTTAATCACACTGCAAAAAATGAGCTGGTGCTCTAACATCATGCAATACTTTCTGAACAACCTTTATAACTATAACTGACCTACTAATAATGTCCTGATCACAACCCTACACTGACACATGGACCATAAATGTGGACATTGCACTGATCTCTTCATGTCTGAATTTTGGAAACTTGTTAGTGTGTTAATTTCTGCCACAACAATTACCTTCAAACACTTGTTATTTTTACTTATATTGCATAAAATTATGAAAGACATTTATTCAAATTTGATAAGAATCTACTCCTTTACATACAGCTGCTTTCTGTGTTGACATTTTGGACTGAAACTGTATCGTATGGTCAAATGCCACAAAAACAGGAGTTGTTACAATGACTACACAGCAGAATCAATGATCAATAATAGAATTTCATGTTCAAACACAATTCTGCAGTGCTGACTTCTAGCCTGATATAGTCTCCTCCAAGCTCCAGAGTCCTACTCAACAACTCCTTTGTGATGCTTATTATTTAAAATACTGTGTGACCAAAGCAAAATTAATGATTTCTCCTATTCCCATCCTAATAATCTTCACAGTCCTGCCCCCATCTAAGAAAGCTACCAAGTCCTACCACTCAATTGTTCTGGGAAAAAGAAACTGACATCATTCTTGACTCTTTCTCCCCACAGAAGTCTCATTCAAACCTGTTGGCTTGACATCTAACTTATCTAAACCTTTGTCATTGAAGTTCCTTCCATTCACTTATTTGAGGTCCCAATTGAAGTGTCACTTTAGGAATGATGGCTAAAGAAGCTAAGCCTTTGGGCTCAGTATTACATCACCAATTCTTTAAAACACTTAGGACCTTATGATTGAAATGGCTTTGTTCACTCTCTTCATCAAAGTATCAGCTTTTAGAAGGTAAGAATGCTAATTATTTTGTTCATCACTCTATTTCTAGCAATTACCTGGCATATAATAATCACTCAATAAGTAGCCATTGATCGACTCTGCCTCTTTCCATGATACCACATTATTATTATAGTATTTTCAACAGTATTCTTAAATGTACTATATGACTGCAGACAATTTACTTTCTGTGGATATTTGCTTCTTCAAGTACAAAGTGAGGCAAATTCAGTATATAAATTCTATAACTAAAATTCCATAACTGTGAATTATAGAATACTGAAATATAGAATAATCCTTTTCCATTCATTCCATCATGTGGTTTCCATTTGGCTCTTTAGTCATTGTTATAAATGATATGTACATGAAATTACAGTTCACAAAGCACTTTTACTTCCATTGCTTCCTTTGACATTCACCTGAAACTCCTAGAGAATTATACTTATTTTTTCTATTTTACAGAGGAAGAGCTAAATCTCAGAGAGCATATAGAAGCTCTAAGTTTACTTGTATCTCATTTGCTCTAATTGGCTTTCTATTGCTATGATGAAACATTGACTAAAACCAACCTGGGGAGAAAAAGGTTTATTTCATCTTACAGTGCAGTCCTTCATCAAGAGAAGCCAGAGCCGGCACTCAAAAGCAGCAATCTGGAGGCAAGAAACTGTCTTCCAAGCTCCCACAACACCTCATAAAGCTGTGAACATGTAATGGCTTTTCCAGCTCAAAGTTCAAAATGTTTCCACAGTCCTCCCAAAAAACAACATGGTCATGTCCATCACAACAATAGCCCATCTCTGCTACTAATTTCTGCCTTAATTACCTTTCTGTTGCCATGATAAAGCACCATGACCAAGGAAACTTATAGAATAGTTTATTTTGCTTATGGTTCCAGAGAAATGAAAGTCCATCATGCGAAAGAAGGCATGGCAGGAGGCAGCCAGAGCAGTTAGCAGAGAGCTCACATCTTCAAGAAGGCACAGGAAGCAAGAGACAAACTGAAAGTGGGGTGGGCCTATGAACTTTCAAAGCCTGACCCCAGTGACATACTCCCTACTCCAAGGCTGCACCTCCTAAATGTTCCATGACCCACACCAAACAGCACCACCAGCTGATGAAGTTTTCAAATACTTGAGCCTATGGGGCCACTTATTCAAGTCACCACACCATTTCACTAAACATCTCTTTTACAAATACAAGCTATTATTTGGTATTTGAATTGATATTTTTGAACAATTCCTGGGTCTGTAGGAATTGTTCAAAATATCAGTTCACTAATACCAATCATCATATGTATAGCTTGGGGAATTCTAACATTTTTCCCTAGTCTTCATAAGAGTTTTCACTAGACTCTAGTCCAAGTTGCTTTTAAGAGAAGCTACTGCTTGTTGGTGTTGAGTATATGATGGTTGATCTTTATTGTCACCTTGAATGGATTTGAAAGCTTCTAGGAAACACATCTGAGCATGTCTGTGAGGGCATTTCCAGAGAGGTTTAACTAAGGAGGGGAGACTCACCCTGAGCCAAAGTAAGCCTTTCCTTAAGTTGCTTTTCTTGGGTATTTTGCCACGGTATTGAGTAAAACAATGAATACAAGTAAATATCCAAAAGACCCACAAAACCAAACTACCCCCTCCTCATCCTACAGTAGCATTGACTCTTTCACCTTTTTTCATATTCCTTTGAATAAATGTATCACCTCCAGAAAGCCTATGCAGTGAGTAGGAACAAATAATAATCATAAAAATTCTGCTTCAAGCTAGGCCTAGCGGCACAGGCCTGGAATCCCAGCTACTCCAAGGGTGGCAGCAGGAATATTGCAATTTTAGACCTGCCTGAGCCACAGAATCTCAAAATCATCCTGAATGACTTAGTGGGAACTTCACTCTAAATAACTTTAAATAGACTAGGAATATATATCAATGATAGAGTCCTTACCCAGGTTTACTTTCCAGTATCATTTAAAAACTAACTTTCAACACGTCACATGCAGAGAATATATATCTGAGAGATGCCCAGCTTTAAGTGGCACATCTACAGTAAAACCTCTATACCAAAGGTTCATGGAAAATAACAGAACAGGAGGTAGAGAGAAACTAATGCATCCCTCAACTCTCACCAGTGATGCTTCCTCATGCAACAGAGTGCCATACACACAGAAGGCCATAACTGGCCAAGGTGTAGAGAATAAGAGACCACAGAGTTTGGGTCCACAGATGGGACTCCTATATTAGGACTCACCCATTCATGGTTCCAGTACAATTGCGGAAGAGGAGGGCAAAAAGATTGTAAGAGCCAGGGTTGGTGCATGAACATAAGGAAACAAAGTCTTCCAGGTCTCTGGGAACTTGTTCATAAGAACTTGCAGCAATAGTGACAGTATACACAAGACCCATGCAGCCTCAGTCACACAAAAAGCATAGAACTGTGAAAATGGGCAGCAGGCCCCAACCTTACCCAAGGAACTATTGGCAACTGATTAATGTTGGGTGAGGAAGAGCTGATATTCTTTAAGGGAGGGACTCTAAATAGGCTGACCACACTCCAGTGGATGAACTCACACCTCACACAGAGGGACATCTGGATACTAAAGCTTGACTTTGATAGGCCCTAAGATATATATTACAGAATGCATGAAATCTGGTGGGGAGCTATGGGGGAGTGTGGATGGATAAGGAGGTCTAAATATGATTAAGATCTATTGTATGAAATGCACGAAAATTCAATAAAAATATACATAAAAATTAATTTTATTATCAAATGACCCCTACACTATTAACTAATTTTGTGACTGTAAAAAAAAGGTCATGGTCTTCTTTTCTCCATAGAAATAGTTATTTCTTAATAAATATATAATAATTA